CATGTATACAATCTTCATCTCACTGTGACTGGTACTCTGGCACCATACGAATGAAATTTCCTTACTTCTAAGATAACATTTCCATTCCTAAATCACAAAATCTTAGAGCTAGAAGAACATTATAGATCACTTAGTCCAACACCTCTTGTAAGCCCAGTTATGTTTACCTCAAGCCTACCTGAGAATCATTTCAAAATTAAAATTAATATACCTTTTACATGCAACATAATCATAAAGTACTACTTGGATCACACACAAGTAAAGAAGTGCGCTACATTTACTGAAGACTGCTTTCAATTTAGGAATCCTTTTAGAGTAAGATCCATACTCAGCTCAAGAAAAAAAACAAAAGTATCACAAGTACATACACTTGCAACAGCTCCAAATACTGTTTCAGACACTCATGTTTCCAAGGTAAGTCTTTTTTGTTACAGTGTGTCCAGGAACCAACCTTAATAGTACATCATTCCATTCCCAATTGTTCAATCATAAGAACACAAATCCAACAACAATCTCCAAATGGTATGAACTGAAACAATTCTGAAAGTGTTTCTCAAGCCTGGCTGCCCATGTAATTACCTGTGGAGCTTCTAAAAATAAGCTTGCGTGGGTCCCACCCTGGGACCTTCAGTATGTTCTTTTTCTTCTTGAAAGCTATAGTAGGTCTATTCTCAGCCAAAGTTAAGAACCACTATCCCAAAAGATTCAGCCCTTAATATGTCTAGTATTCCTATATATGGGGGGGGGGGGGTGAAGAAGGAGTAATGATAAAGCATCTTCACCAGCCTAGCAACATTTGCTGATTCACAGAGCTCTGTCTCTACATTATGCCAGTCTTAAAGCAAAAAAATGGGGGGGGGGGGGGCTGGTGGCACAGTCATTTAACCATCTGACTCTTGGTTTTGGCTCAAGTCATGATCTCAGGGGTGAGATCGGGCCCTGTGTAGGGCTTCATGCTCAGTGAGTTTACTAAAGTTTCTCTTTCCCTCTCCCTCTGCCCCTCTTGGTGCTCCCTCCCCTCCCATCCCCCCCCCCAAACAAATAAATAAATAAATCTTGAAGAAAATAAAAAATTGGGGAAAACAAAGTTTGTGACTGTTCATAGATTTGATGGGGCCATTAGGATATGTGAAACGCCTTTTGCTTTCTTCTCCCTTGAAGGCAACCCTCCACCCCACATCTCCCAAGAGAAAGGGCGGCTGATGTTCACTTTAAAAACAGCTGATACTATTAAGATTTTACATAAATTCCTCTTTTACTTTGTGAAATAGAAGGGTGTAAACACACTCATAAAAATAAATAAGAGAGATTAATGATCTGGCTGGGAGATCATGACATGAGATGAAATTTCAGTCAAAGAACTGTTGTTTCACGACTGCAGAGAAGTGCCAACACACTCACCACCCTCTGAAGGTAGCACAGAAGCAAAGAAAGGCCAATACACTGAAAGAAAAAACTTAACAGTGCAAATATGCAAACGAAATCAAACTGTTTTCTAAGGTCTAACCCTCCAAGAAAATGATCACACTTTCTAATAACAACACTTTCACTAAACTGAAGCCCAGTGTGACTCATATTCCTGTTACGAGTGACTCATATACCTTCTATCCCTGGGAAAAGCACCTGAAAAATAGAGCATATAAAGCTACACCGTAAGCTACAGCTAAGTAATTAGTGAGGGTAAAGCATGCATTAAATAGACCTTAATCACACACTAATACTGTGCAAAAGGAGGGTCATGAAACCAAATCATCCTACAGACAACTATTCTTCCATGCTCCAATTCTGGCCTAGCCAAAAATATTTTCTTATATTCTGTAAACTCATTTGGTGAAACAGCTATCAAACATGCTCCATCTTGACAGGTAAGGCATCACACAGAGAAGTTTACCACCTTGCTATCAAGGAAAACTAAATTCTCTTTTTTTTTTTTAAAGATTTTATTTATTTATTTGAGACAGAGAGAACGAGAGACAGAGAGCATGAGAGGGAGGAGGGTCAGAGGGAGAAGCAGACTCCCTGCTGAGCAGGGAGCCCGATGTGGGACTCAATCCCGGGACTCCGGGATCATGACCTGAGCCGAAGGCAGTCGCTTAACCAACTGAGCCACCCAGGCGCCAAAACTAAATTCTCTTAAATGAGCACTGAGACTTGTCCAAGCAAGAGTCAGAAAATTTACGTTTAAAAAAAAAAGGGGAGGGGGCATGTGAAGAGACAGTATTGTGGTTTAGTGGAATCAGTTTTAACAAAATACAACTTTCCCAGTATCTTTTCTTAGAAATGTGGCCCAAATCAGTGATATAATTCCTAGGCCTTAACCTTTCTTTCACATGACCACATGAAACAGCAAAATTTAAGTAGCAAATATAATTAAGGGAACAACTGTAACCCCAAAAAATCTGCAGTAAAAACCGAGATGATGTACAGTTATACACACTGATAAATAAGTTTGCCAAGAAATTCAAACAAAAACAAAGATAAAAATCTTTCTCTAAAGCACTTCATATGAATGATCTGCATGTAAGCCACATGCCTAGCAAGTAGTAAAGAGCAGACCCTGCTCCTGGAATATTTCAAGCAAAACCAGCTTTCTGAAAAAAATTGAAATAAATAATTCCTTCTTTAGCAAGTATTTCTGTTGAAGTATAGCTATGTTGGAATAACTTAACTGAATTCACATACCTTTGAATACTTTATACTTTCAAAACTTTATGAAATATTTAGACATATATTCTAATCTTGAAAAAAAATTTAAACATAGTAAAATCACAGGCATCTTTTTAAAATACATTTGTATGCCACCACAAATCTTGAAAGTTCAATGAATATCTGGGAAAGAAATACACTACCCTATTTTAAACAACTATAAAACCTAAATTTACACTTAAAATGTACTTTTCAGCTTGTTCCAAAATCTGGACTTCTTACTTTGCCCAAATACAATTGAGGTCAGCGGGGGGGAATTGTTCTGCCTACAAAATTTGTGAAACTGAACTCCATTTCATTATGTCCAAAAAGCTTACTGCTAATAAATATCTAGGATGGAAGACATTAGAAACAATTCTCTCAGGAACTTTAACCTGACACCAAGATTCTGACTGCCTACACTTAGGAGTCGGAAGACAGGCAGAGATAGACTTTAGCTTGTTTAGAAGAAATGTAGTTACTAAATATATGCTGTTAAATTTTACTAGTATTTCAAAATCTTTCTCTTCCCCATTCTTCTTGTCCCTCTCCCCCTTCATTCTTTTTGCATCTTATCAACCTGCAAGAAATCAAAAAAAGTATCCCCAGTATCAAACACACTACCTTTGATTCAATATGGATTTGGGTGTTAAGGGATGTTTTTAGATTTAAGATTTCAAATTCAACACATGTTTCAAAATTTTACTTGACCCCAAGCTACACTCACAATTACCAAAAGTTAACCAATCTTTTTTTTTCCTATTTTATCCCCCTACCCCCTTGTTATAAACTTATCAGCAGGAAACCAACTATTTGCAGACAAATACAGCTGGGCGGGGGGGGGGGGGGGGGGGGGGGGGGGGGGGGGGGGGGAAGCTGCTTGGTTCAATCTAGGAAGACCAATAAACAAGCCTGGGAGTACCAGGAAAATCAGGAACCACTCACTCATTCCTCCACCCTTAATTTGCATATAAATTCTATAGGACAAAGTTCTTGCATTCACTCTCATGATTTGACTTAATTCAACCCCCTGCTTTCTGAAACGTTTTTATTTAAAACTGTGAAGAGAGATCTGGACAAACAATTCAAAAAGTAATCAACTTTTACCTCAGTTAACCTAAGTACATCTCGGTTAACTGAAATACAGAGAACTAAAATCTCCTATACCAGGTGCAGAACTCTGGGCAGTCTAGGCAAAATGTCTTCTCACAGAAGCAATGTACCTGAAGAGCTCTGTGTAATTTATCTTCAGTTCAGATTTGTTTCTCTTGCAATGTTTACCTACAAACTCAGTTTCCAGAATACACTCAAGCTGATTTAAGTTGGAGGGCACAGATTTACCAAGATTTTAACGGGATCACTTCCTTAGTTTAGCCAGTTAAGGTTAGTAGCCAAAAGAACATATGCAAGTGGTTTTTGAGGGACCCACCAGGCACAGGGGAAATTTACAAAAGAGAAAAGGGCCGCAGGGCCAAGCTTGGGCTTGTGTAAACATAAATCACCTACGCACTGGCCTGGCTACCGAAAACAATGTTCCTCCGGAATAGGTGTCCAGGTGGCTAATTGACTTTCTGGAGATGAGAGTTAAAAACAAACCCTTACGCCCACCAGACACTACACAATTTTACCTGTCACCAAGAAAAGGGCACGTCTAATCCAACAAAAAAAAAAAAAGAAAAAAAAAAGTCGTTTTCCCTTCAAGGAGGGCAGCGGTTTGGAGTCATTTGCAGGGGATGGGATTGCAGGGGGGGGGGGCGTGGAATAAAGGAGCGCTAAAAGGAGAGGCAGGGCCCCAACACAGGCCACTGCGGAGAGAAGACGGGGGAAGAGGGGAAGATGTCTCACCGGGGGACAAAACCGAGTGCAAAACCGGCTGGAAGAAGGAAGGTTCCCCCCAGGAGACGAGCTGGGGTGTAGATAAAAAGCGCTAACGGCTGGTTACCTTGGGATACAGGGGAAAGGGACAACGGGAATACAAAGGTCTACAGAGATGTGAGGAAAGGAAAGGATGAGGCAGGGTCTCGGGTAAGTGCGAACCAGGGAACAAGACAGACAAACAGCGGGACTGGGGCCTCCCAGGGCCAAAAGGCGTGGCCAGGAATCCAGATCAAAACGATGGTCTTTTTGAGACGCCAGGGGAAGTGCGCGGCAAACCCCTCCTTCAAGACCCCGGGCCAGACCCGTCCGAGGAGCCCAACTGCGAGGCACCTCGAGGCCGAAACGCGCTCGGAGGGCTCTGGCCTCGCCCGCGGGGCCCTCCGCAGGGCCGGCTGCCCAGGCCCCCGCCCCCACCCCCACCCCCGCAGTGCTCTTACCTCCACACCTGCCCCATCTGCAGCAGGTGGATGACCGACTGCCAGATCCACACGGAGAGGCGGCACAGGCGCTGCGCCCCCGGCGTGGCCGTGCCCCCCACGCCCGGGCCGCCGCGGGCCGCGCCGTGACCGTAGCCGGCCCCCATCATGGGGGGGCCCCGGCTGCTGAGCCCCTCCACGGCGCCCAGCCCGCCGCCCGTGTAGTCCTGCACGAACCAGCGGAAGCTCAGGCTCTGCACCAGCAGCGACGGCACCAGCACGAAGAAGAGGGTCAGCCCGAAGAAGACGTAGTCCCCCTTGCGGTAGTAGTCGAGGGCCAGCCACAGGTCGGTGCCCACGTCCCCGAAGAAGACCAGCAGCGCCAGCACGATCCACAGGCAGTCGAGCCACGGCCGCTCCACCTGCGGCGGCGACGGTTCCGGCCGAGTGGCAGGCGTCGGGTGGTCGTGGTCTGCGCCGGCGGCCGCGGGCGGCTGCAGCGGCTGGTCCCCCCCGTCGGCGGCGGCGGCGGCGGCGCTGCGGCGCGGCTTCCTGCCCAGGAGGGAGCGCAGGCAGGCGGAGCGGCAGCCCCAGTAGCACGAGGAGGTGTTGCAGCAGTGGCAGATGTGCAGCGAGCTGCTCTCGCCGGGCTCGCTGCCGTCGCCGCCGCCGCCGCAGCCGCCTCCCCCGGGCTCCCCGTCCTCCTCGCCGCCGCTGCCCACCGCCTCGTCCAGGTTGTGCAGCTGGGCGAAGCCCACCCCCACGCCACCGCCATCGGATTTCGCCGCCATCTTGACTCTCTTCCCAGCTCCGGAGGTTGGGGGGGGAGGGACGGGTGGGGGGGGGAAGAAGGCAGGGAACGGGGAGGGGGGGAAACGAATGGAGAGGAAGGGGGGCGGGGAGGAAGCGGGGGAGCAAACGAACGAGGGGGGAGTGGGCCAGGGAACCCCCTCCGCTTCCGGGTAGTTGGCGTCACTTCCGGGCGAGCCCCCCAATCGCACGGCGCCCGCAGCTCCCCAGCCCTACCCTCCCGGCCAAGATGGCCGCCCTCCTGTGCCTCAGCTGCTGGGCGGGGGACCGGGGGGTTCTCCCCGCCAGGGCTCCCCTTCCCCTCTTCCGTTGACCCCGAAACCCATCAGGTTGACCCCTCGGCGTTTCTGAATCCCGCTGGGCCGAGTGATGCGGTCCAAAGTGATCCCTGGAGGGGGCAGTGCCAGACGTTTTGGGGTCCCCTTCCTCAGCGTCGCAGCTCACAGCTTTGCTCCTGGAGAAACGCCCCCTAACACGCTCCCGGCTGCTGGCGGAGGGGCGGGACATCTGAGGGAAGGGGCGGAGCTAGTGCAAAGCAGGTGATTACGTGTCACTTCCGGGAGATAGGATGACCTCATTGAGTAGTTAGGCACCCCCCCCAACATCAAAATGGCTGTGTCTCACCTCTTTGGTTGTTTGAGGGTTTTTTTTTCCCTTTCAAAATTCTCTTACTCTTTTCTTATTTGGGGGGGTCTTGAGAAATTACATAAGTCAGTTTAGATTCCCACATACAACTTACTGATTCTCACTTGTATTTGGACACCTTCCCTCCTCTGTTGACCCCCTGATTTTCTTGTCACTGACGACTTTACCATCTTTAGTAATAAAGTTTCCATCATTCCCTTAAGAAAACTCCAAAGTCCAGTTGAAAGTCAGCCTATGCGTCTTGAACGTCGGAGCGAAGATTGAATTGGCATTAGTGACCTTGAATATTTTCTTCATCACTGGAATGTATTTCTACCAACTTTTTAAGTACATGATTTTAAAATTATGTGACCTTAATTTGTAAAATTCAGAACTAGCCAGGGTTTAAGCTATATCAATTACTTGTTCAAGTTATTTGAATGTGTGAAGCCTGCCTTTTAGAATTTTTTTGGTGCTAAAACTGTATCAGTAAACATGGCTTTAAATGAGTGAAAATGTTATCAATGTGCGATATCATTAAAACAGGTGCAAGGTACACTACTTAATCTTAACAAATTACAAAAGCGAAGCACCACTGAGTGGATTTAAATTACAATGATCTTCTAGTGAAAATATATTTGAAGCCAGACAAAGCAAACTACATGGTTACAGTTGTCACTGATCAAGTGAAAGAAACATATTGAAGTAAAAAAAAAAGAAAAAAAAATGTTTTAAACCCTGAATTCTCTCCTTAACCTCACCAGATTGTCATACTCATTTTTTCTGATTCTGTCTACTCTCTTCAGTGAAACCTAAGAATACCATAATTTTCTTTGGAATGCTGAGGACAAATTAGGTAGTATTTGCACTGAAGTTCTGTGGAAGAAAGGTGCCTTTGAAATTTTCAGTATTATTTTGAGGTATATGGTATTTAACACTATAGCACCTAGTTAATTGGGTGGCAGGGCAAACAAGGATTCCATATTTTAGGACACAACTTTTCATGAGTATTTATGTTAAGGTAAATACTATAAAGACTTTATAGAAAGTACTCATAGAGGGCCGCCTGGATGGCTCAGTGGCTAAGCGTCTGCCTTCGGCTCAGGTCATGATCCCCAGGTCCCGGGATCGAGCCCCGCATCGAGCCCCGCATCGAGACCCGCATCGAGCCCTCTGCTCGGGGGGAAGCCTGCTTCTCCCTCTCCCGCTCTTCTTGCCTGTGTTCTCTCTCTCTGTCAAAGAAAGAACTCATAGAGAATTTTTACCCCAGCCACTGGGGAGGGAGGTAAGGGGAAAAGGCGAGAAGTAATTCCAAAATCTACTTTTGGAAACAAGTCACATAACCGTATCCTTTTATTTCATTTTATGATTTAAGCCTCTTTGTTCCTACGGTAGTAAAACTTATAGCCAGCAGGTAAGGATACTTCCTCATGTAGGTGGCAATCTATTTCTTTACAGAATTTGAATTAATAATATTTTAGAAAGACAGATTAAGTGTAGATTAGGACTGCCTAGGTCTGGATCCCAGTTCCACTAAAATAATAATATGAATGGTAAAAAGGAAACCAAAGGCCCAAAATGGCATCACTCAGGCCAAGTCACCAAACCAGGGCTTAATATCTGACTGCAGTTTCAACCTCCCCCAGAAATGTGGTCTTAATTAGTCAGTCAGAAATCTTCTGAGCAATACCAATAGAGTAATTTGTCACATGGACCCTCTCCATCCCCCAAAGGAATATGAGGTAATCTACCTAGCAAGAACCCCTGCCCTTGCAGCTAAGGCAAAGTGACCTTGCCTGGTACAACTCATTCTTTTCTTTTGCTAGTAACTTTCTTGCCCACCCTCCTTCTATAAAAACCTTCCATTCTGTAGAACTCTTTGAAGCTCCCCTCTACTTGCTAGATGAGATGCTGCCCAATTCATGAATCATTTAATAAAACTAATTAGATCTTTACATTTACATGGTTGGATTTTTGTTCTTTAACATGAATAATGTGAGCAAGATAACCTCCTTAAACCTCAGTTTCCTCCATTGTATGATGGAAATAATAACGTGCCTTCTCTGAAAAGTTGCTGGGTGAATTAAAAGAGGTAATCCATTTGAAACTATCAACACGATACCTGATAGGTAGTAAGTACTAAATAAATGATAACTTCTATTTTTATTATTATTGCTATCATGATTATGTTTGAATAGTACCAACACACAGTTACTTAAGTTTTGTCATTCAGTATATTTGGTAACTCTAATAAATGAAGGCATTTTTAAAAAACTCCTAGGAAACAGGTACAATGAATTTGTGTTTTCAAGTATATTTTCTCTGTTTAAGCCTGTGAGGCTATGAAATGAGATACAAAAGCAGGCAGCGATGACATATTTATGATTCCTATTTCTCTGTGCCCTGAAAGAACATAATATAGTAGTGAAATTAGCTAAGTAAATTACACTCACTGTATAAAGCTGACACATGAGACTGAATCAAAAGAGTTTATCACAATTGAAATTTCAAGTAGATATAGAAGATTTGCAGACTATCAAGTGATTTCAACTTTACATTTGCTGTTTCAACAATTTTATCATTCTGACTTCTGTGGAAGGGATACATTGTGGAACCTAGAAGGTTCTAAAATTAAAATCAGTTACAATGATAATAAAGCTATCATGAAGACTCATGGAAAGGTTAACATAAATTTGGACTGTGCTATGAATAAATTTTTTTTTTACCCAGAATTTTGGGACAATTAGGCATGCCAAATAAGTCCAGAGCTTAGCAACATGCTGAACACATGGTGAGCACTCAATAAATTTTGGTCAAATAAGTGACTTAAATCAATTTTTAAGATAACTGAAATTTACCCTTTCAAATGCCCTCTCCAAAAAATTGTATTTTACATTTGACGATGTAAATCTTTATGAAACAATTGATGTATTACAGAGATACCTTGATTCATTAGTAAACAGGGAAGAAATAAATAAAAAGAAATTCTTAACCACTGATCTGCTTTCTTCAGAGCACACCAGTTAACCTTTTCTTAATGATTTGACCTTAAGGTAGCCTTATGCTAAGAGGCTCTGTCTATCCATGAGCCTATTAAGGAGCCACCCAGGCCTACTGGATACTTTTGTTCTTGTTGTTTCTAAATAACATTTAAAAAAAAAATCTCTGCTTTTTTGTAGTTCAGTTAACAACTTTGGCTCCTTTTACTTCCACTTTGACATAGGCTGGGAAGTCAAGCCACAAAGCATGTTAGAATTACATGCTATATAATAGTAAATAGATTTTTAGAGCCTCTTCTATGAGTAAGGTAAGACAGATTTAATATATGGAAATTGTGGCACACAGTTTCAGGTTGAGAGAGACCTTTGGGGTTTTTCTTCCCAATTCTCTGCTACTTTCAGAAAGGTAAAAGGGAAATTTAGTGTTAAATGCTATTATATATTAGACACCGTCCCAAACATCATTCCAGTTAATCATACAATAGTCCAAAAAGACATGGATACAAGTATCCCCATTTTAATGGCTAGGAAACAGCCTCCAGTCTCCCAAATGACTTACCCAGAGTCACACTGATAGGAGGTAAGGTAGCTAATGGATTAGAATCTAGCAGGCCTAATTCCAAAGCCTAAACCACTTACCCTTCCATTGTCCTGGGCCAGGCAGCTATTGGCCTCTTGAAATGAAGACAGTCTTACTGTTCTAGTCACTAGAGGGGCCCCGTTTTGATGCTGATACATGTTAGGGAGACAGAATACTTGAATTACAGCATGGGGATTTGCCCCCCAAAAAGCATAATGAAGGGGCTTCCTCACACATTCTTCACTGGGTTTTCCTAATTTGAGCCTGGGTAAAGCCTCAAAGCCAGTAGGTGGGTATCATCCTTATCAATTTTATTCCTTATGTCTATTATCTTTATAGAAATAGGACTTCTTTGAGCATGGAGTAAGCTCATGGAACCCATTATCCCTAAAAGCTCCATTTCTATATTTGATTTTAAGACTTGCAATTTGAGTGAGCACTTTCATACATTCATGCTAGTGTTACAAAATGGTACAATATCTGTGGAAGGGAATATGGCACAATCTATCAAAATTACAAATGCAGTCATCCTCGGAGACAGCAGTCCCTCTTATGGGAATTTATCCTACAAATAAATATGCACATGTCAGAAATTACATGTGGACAAGGTTATACATGTAGCATTGTTTGTAATAGGAAGAAAAATGAGGGGAAAAAAATCCAAGTGTCAGTCCAAAAGAATACTAGTTAAATAAATTGTAGCACATCCACATGACAAAATACTATGCAGTGATATTGAGAATTTATGGGGTTTTTTTTAATGATATAGAAAGAGTTACAGAACACCTTGTTATATAAAAAGAGTAAGGTGCAAAACAATAAAGCATGCTATGTTTTCTGTAAAAAGGAAGGAGCAGAAGGTTATCTATTCCTATTTTCTTGTATTTGCATAAAGCAGTTCAAGAAAGATAGCAAAGAAACTAGTTCAAACGATTACCTACAGGGTGATAACAGCTGTGTGGAGAATGGTGTGAACAGGGACAGGAATGAGAGAAAAACAATAAATGTTTACAGGAGTCTTTTTGGTGGGGTGAGGAATGTGCACACATAGGCGGGGTTGCAGACATATGTGGGAGTGAAGCGGTAGGCACATCTGTATTTCTTCTGGACAGTAACACCACTGAGAAGTATTTTGTAAAGGTGTCTGTCTCTTAAGAATTCTGATATCTGTGAATTGATTTAAACCCTTCTTGAACTTTCTTATATTTTGATCCACTATATTATCTAAGGAAGGATAATGAGATCCATGAGTTAATTCCCCAATG